CGCTTTCAACGCATATTCCGGTTCGGATCTGACCTGTAGGATACGTTTGGAAACAATGCGCCAACAAACCATAACCTCAACTTCTCCCTCTACAAACGACCTTATTGTCGCTCCGGCCTCAACCCCCACGACGACCACCCTTGTCAACGTTGATCACTTTACCGATGCCCACTGCTGATTACTGGCATTGGCGCCTTGTCCAAACCCCAATCTCCATTACAGAGACTAACCCCGCCAACACCACGACCGTTCGCGCTCCTCTTACCGACAAGGCGATATCCGGCGTTCCGTCATCTACTTATCTCACCAACTACACCCCCACCCACAGCGATGTGGACTCGGTCCCAACCTGTCATCACTGCAACCGCACATCCACATCACACATCAGCCTGGTCTGTCACTTGCGAATCCATCAAACAAATGCTGGCGAACCAGTGCCCATATTACCCACATATACTCACAGCGCACGTCTTCGCTGTTCACACGGCCCACCAACATTCATCCACCGAATAAGCCTATTCGGCCACATGCACATTCACGGAAGCCTGCGGTGTAACACCGTTCACCATAACATACTATCAATCTCTCTTCACCAGCACCTACAAAGTAGATCGGCATCACTCATCATAACACAACAAAATCACGTTATTAGCATCTCTCACGGAAACGGAAAGTGTGTTTCCGGGCCTCTTCTCCATGTGGCTTATCTGCTGCATGTGTGATTCGGACTTGAGAATACAATCGGGCACCAAGTGCCGTGCCTTGGTAGGTTGCAAAATGACGCTTCGACTCAGTCTACTCAGTCAGCCCAGCTGCGTGTGTTTGCGTATTGAAAGGCTGACCGGCGGACTGAGAGTCAGGCTGAAATGGCTCCGTCTTAACGTGTCCTTTGCCACTCTCACGCATATGAGATGCGTGCCACCCATTCCCTACTGTGTGAAATTCTGATGCCTACGTTAGGGGCGAGGTCATTTATATGGCACGGACAGAGGGAGGCCATTAGACATGTCCATCGCGACGCCTATCCCCCGCGAGCAAACATTTGATCGGTTGGCATAGTCCCTGGCGCCTGAGAAAGGTAATTGAGAGTGCGGTCGACGACTTAAGCGCACTTTCATCATCGAGAACAATCTGACGCCCTTGAAGCTATCGTGGTGCACTAAAAGCCGCGGTCTGTAATATAGCCAACCAATGGGGTAACTCGGATTTCATAGTAAGCCCAGCACCTGTTTGCGTGGAGTGACCGACTAACGGACTGACAGTCTGGTTGTAATGGCTCCTTTTAATAGGTATGGCACTCCCACTCCCTGGGATCCGAGCCGGGCATAGCGGCACGCTTAGGGCGGCCCCGACCGCGCTAACCATCTTCGTCTTCCCCCGCCTCCCTCCCTTCTTTTTGATACTGTCTTCACGTCAGGCCCAGGAGGGGAGAAGGAGGGAGTGCGGCCGATGCTGCGACACTCCGTAAACTAATTCACTTCCAAATCAACGTCCCTGCTATAACCCTGCTGCTGAGCACACGGCAGACATCGTCGAAAGTCATTGTCAAACTGTCGTCCTGTTGTAAAGTGTAGGTGTGTCCAATTTTGGGATCCACGTGAAGGTTTTGGTAGGTGGCATCATTTGTCTCGTGCAGGTGGTGATTATGCGTGGCATCCACCTCTCACTCGTGGCTCTCCGAGGCTATGTTCTGCCTTTTGGTCACACCCCGGTAACGGCATCGACCGGCGGGCTAAACCGGATGAGGGCGTCCGGAGCTGTTCCCCATACCTGTAACTCTGGTTCCCTTTCCCACCCTCCCTCTCCCGCCCCCGCTTCAAAAAGTCGTACGGAGAGGGCAGCATGCAATTACATAAGCGGGCCAAACTAGCTCGGACCTCTCCTCACCAAGCAAAGCCGTGACACATAGTGGAGTTCGGTAGGCGTCCGGAATGTCTAAACCGCTCTATTTAGGGATAGTCCTGTTTTTTCCTAGTAGAGAAAAGGCTAGAGAAGGTGCTTTAAACAAACGCTGAGGAAAAACGCCATCTTCTATCACGCCATGGCTGATAGATGCTATAATCGTGGTCGAAGGCTGCAATAAACAGCAACCAATCTTTCCTTCCTCCCTCTGCCTAACTCCACAGCTTCTATGGCGAGTTCACTCACTCTGGCAGCCTGCAATGTTTGGTATCCTTTGCAAAATCCAAGGAGTAACCGACCAGAACGGAGGGCAATGCTAGTCCCGCAAGAACTGGCACGCCACAAAGTGGGCATCACCGCTCTCAGCGAGACCCGGTTTTCTGAACAAGGCCAGCTGGAAGAGGTGGGTGTCGGCTACACTTTTTTGTTAAGGCTGCCAGCCTTTTCCACACAGAACCACATGGTGGGACGACTACCTTGTCTGCCCCAGGGCATCAACTATCGACTAATAACACTGTGACTGCCTTTTCAATGATCTGATTTGGTCAAAATCGTCAGCACTTACGCCACCCATCCCCCCAAAAACAAATTCTGCCGAGGCAAAGCACAAACTCTTCGAGGACCTAGACGCACTCTTGACGTCTCTGCCGAGGGCGGACAAGTTGGTTGTCCTTGATGATTTGAATACCGACGTCGGGACAGGGTCACGCTGCCTGGAAAGGGATGTTGTCCTCAGGTGCTAGGCGGCTGGAACCGCAGTGGTCTTCTCCTGCGCATCTGTTTTGGACATTACCTCCTGCTAATCAACACCTTCTTCCGTCTGTCAATGCGAAAGAAGACGGTCTGGATGAACCCTCGCTCGCGGCGCTAGCAATTGTGGGAATATGTCCTCGTCCGGCGGCGGAATCCACAGAACGTGCGGTGACCAAGGTGATCTGCTATACCAATAACTGGATGTAGCACTGTCTCGCCATCTCCGGGATGAGGCACCGTCTGCAACCCTGCAGGAGGACACGAGATCGTTGAATACTGTTCTACTGAATCTTCTCGCTCATCATTTACATTTCGGCAATCAGTTATCTCGGCACCTGAAAGACCTATCGGTCACAGACAACAACGCCACCCCGGAGGCATGATGGTTTCAACTGCGGAATGCCATCCAGCCCACTGACCTGGGCGTCCTCGGTATCGCACGTCGCCAGCATCAGGACTGGTTTGACGACAACGACGCCGATATCTGGAATCTGCTCACCGAGAAGCATAGGCCGCACAAGACCTGCATGGGTTATCAGACCGATGCAAGCAAAATGACCTTATACAGCTATCTCCGCCTCGTGTAGAAACAAATGTAGGAGATTCAGGACGCCTGGATGTCTCAAAAGGTCAAGTTAATCCAGGGGTATGCTGGCGTCAATGAAGCCAATAAATTTTTTGCATCAATCAAGCCGACCCATGAACCCGCAACTAAAGCAACCGCGCCATATCTCAGCTCCAATAAAACAATACTTCTGATGTTGGAATTTCATATCCTAAAATTCTGGTCTGAATACTTTGGAAGTTTCCTCAAACACCCATTCACAATCGCCGGTGTCATCATTGACCAACTCTTTCAGGCGGAAACAAACGCCGAGCTAGACCTGACGCCTTCTCGCCCTGCACAGAGCCATGTGCCAACTCTCCAGGGGGAAACACACCGGCAGCCGACTCGACTCCGACCGAAATGTACAAACACGGCAACTCCCGATTGATCAATAAACTTACGATGATATCCTAAGAGATATGCCGCCGCGGAAAAATCCCTTGGGATTTCAAGGATGTGACAACCGTCCATCTTTACAAGCGAAGCGGAAACCGCAAAAGATGTGATAACCACAAAGTAATCTGTTTGTTAAACATCACTGAGAAGAAGTTCGCCTGCAACCTCCTCAACCGTCTGAGTCGCCATTCAGCACAAGGGCTTCTCACAGAAAATCATCGTAGTTTATGACGCCACCACGGAACCATCGACATGATATTCGCCGTCGGCCAGTTGCATGAGGACTGCCAAGAAGTGCGGACCCATCTCTACACTGTATTCGTGGACCTGTCGAAAGCCTTTGACACAGTGAACCGAGACGGATTGTGAAAACTCACGCAGGAATTTGGCCGTCCTAAGCGATTCGCCCACATGGTGCGTTAACTCAACGACAGGATGTGTGCGCGCGCCACAGATAATTGAACCGTCTCAGAAGCATTCGTCATGGCTAATTGAGTGAAGCAGCGCTGTGAAATCGTCCCCCACTCTCCGGTCTCATGGTCTCTGCCATGCTCCCGATGCCCACGTTCACGATTGCACGAGATCCGTATGCCTACAGAACCGGTTGCCACCTTCTCAATAGTCTGTGCACGCAGGTCATGACGCGTCTATCCACGCCTACTGTCCACAATCTGCCCTTCCTGGACGACTGTACACACAACACCGCGACAGAAACCGACATGCAACAGAGCACGGACGTCTTCAATTCTGGGCGTTCCAACTTCAGGTCGATCATCAATAAGGGCAAAAAATGGTTATGCGTCAACCGCCACCCAACGCTGTATTCTGTGTTCCTTGCATCTACGTCAACGACGTCAAACTGAAAACCGTAGGTAACTTTGTCTTCTTAGACAGCATATATTGCGTTAAAATTGACGAAGTGGCACAGCGGATCTAGAATTCTAGCCAAGCCTTCGGTCGGCTGCAGAACACAATGTGGAATCGCCACAATCTCCATCTCAACACCAAAACTGATGTGCAGAGCGGTCATCTTGGCGATGCTGCTGTATGACACGAACACCTGGATAGTCTAAGTAAAACAATCGCAGAAGCTCATTTACTTCCACGTTATTTGTATCCGCCGGATACTAAACCTGATGTGGCAGGATAGGTTTCGCTATGCAGAAATTCTGGAACCAACTGGAATACTCATCCCCATGGCATGCTGAGATAACTGCAACCATGATGGAACGACCACCTCGTGAGGATGGACGATGTGCAACTACCCGGAGGACTTTCCTATGAAGGCGTCGCTACGGATGCTCGTCGATAGTAAATCTCAAGCCGTCGCTGCAAGGACACCATGAAGAATTCCTCCAAGCGATTAGAAATCAACCCGAATACCTGTGAAGATCCCACACAGAACCGACCGGCTTGGGAAAAAGCCGTGAAGAATGGAGCAGTGGATCATGAAATTAACCGGATCGACGATGTCAAAGCTAAAAGGGAGGCTCGAAAGTCTCATGTGTCCCTGGCCTGCAAGTCAGCGAACATTCCATGTGTTGATCGGCCTCATCGGTCACCTCCGGACTCAATGCGCCAACAGCCCGACAACTCCAAACGCTGCGTCGACGCTCGCCCCAGTTCAAACCTCTACAGCGTCCACGACGGCGACCACCCTCACCACCGATTATTAGCAACCTAGTGCCCCGTCGCTGTCGATCACCGTCATCTCCATCATCCGTGTTACAACCTCCTCGACGACAACCTCTCCCATTGCCGTCACTGGCCAAAACACTGGAGCACCAAAATACACCGGACGCCATCACCTTAACTGCCCGCACTCCCACTCATATTCGGCCATCTCATGGGCCTATTCGGTCGCACGCGCCTCTATCACTACAAACATGGTCGCACAACCACGCATTTCCCCATCAACACATGCACCACACGCAAACGTCTCCAAAATCCTACATCGCCGGCGTCTATCACGTAGGCAGGGAGAGTGGTCTTCGGCTCCCTCCTCCGCGCGGCTCCCCTGCTGCATGTGAGATCCGAGCGTTCTACCCCTCTGCGCGTGAAATCCTGGCGTGTCGCGGAGGCCAGGTCGTGCGTGTGGCACGCGCAGACGAGCTGTTCTCAGTCCTGTCTGCCACCTCTCCCAATCTCAGCATCATTCGGTTGGTCGGCTCGGACAGCTGACTGGTGCACGGGATAGGGTAGAGTGAGTGAACTCGGCCTCCAGCGCATAGTTCCTCACTACAAACAATATGATGCAACTGAGACTATCCCGATGGGCTAAAAGCCGCGCACTGGAAAGTTGCCAACTATCGATCCAACGTGGACCTTGTGTCCGCCCAGCGTGTTTGTGAGTTGGGTGGTTGATTTGTGGACTAGAGTGGTTCCTCATAGTGTGGCCTGTTTTCCTCTCCCACTCCTTTGGGTTCCGAGCCACCTACCTGATCATTTGTTTTGCAAACCACGGAGTGTGGTAGCACGCATAGGTGCGGGTTTTTGCCCACCACAAACAGTACCACATCGACAACCGAATTTACATCACCCAAACTACCCTATCTACAATGTCATCGCACGTTCAACGGACCGCATTGGCCTGATCAGTCACTTGAGAATACATCCCACAGAGACTGGTAAACCAGCGACTGGAGCACTGTAATATCCCAGAGACCATCTCCTCCACTGCCCTCATTGTTATCGCACATTCAGCCACCGCATGGATCTACTCTGTCGTATGCACCTTTATGAAAACCTGCAATGAATCACTGAAGAGACGACCACATCACCACACACATCCCCCATCTACACATGCACCACGAGTAAACACTTCCGGTATCTCACGTCACCGTCACCTATCACGTCAGTGGGGAATATGCTTTTAGCTCATTTCTTCACACAGCCTCTTTGCTGACTGTGAGATCCAAGCGCTCTACACCTTCGTGTGTGCAATCTTCGTGTAAGTGTATGGGGAACCAGATCGTGCGTGTGGTACGCACACATGAGCTGTTTTCAGCCCTGTCAGTCACTTCTCCCAATCCCAGCATTAGTCGGTTGACCGGCTCGGACAGCTAAATGGTGTATGGGATAAGGTAGAGTGAAGGGGTTGACTCTCGGCGCATAATTCCCTATCATAAACAATCTGGTGCGCTTGAATATATCACGGTGCGCCAAAAGTAGTGGTTTGGAAATTTGTCAGCTGAAGTTTCAACTCGAACCACGCAGTCGACCCAGTGTGTGTTTGAGTTGAGTGGCTAACCAGTGGACTGGGTGTCAGGCTGCAATGGTTCCTTAATGGCGCTCTCACGCAACTTCAAGACCTCAGCAGTCTACCTCTTTTGCGTGAAATTATGGTGGGTGCTCTAAAATGGCCAGATTGTATATGAGTCGAGCGCATTCGATCTGTCTGGCTCTGTCAGCCACTGAGGTTACTCACCGCATCAGACATCTGACCGTCTCGCAAAGTCGCTGGCGCCTGGGAATGGTATTGGAGGGTGAGGTCGACGGCCTCAGCGTATATTCATTCCTATGAACAGTCCGACGTGTCTAATCTATCACGTTGCGTTAAAAGCCGTGACCTGGAAGGTTGCCAACTGACAAGGTAACCCGGACCTCGCAGTCAGCCCAATGAGTGTTCGTGTGGAGCAGCCGACTAGTAGACTGAGATTCAGGCGGAAAGGATCCGTTCTTAATGTGGCCTCTATGGCACTCCCACTTCGTGTAATCCGAGCCGGTTTTGGCGACATGCCTAGGTGCAACTTCGGCTGTTCCGATGTCGGGTGAATTGACTGTCCTTGCTGACTTCAACACCTGCGTCGGCACAGACCATGCTGCCTCAGGAGGGGTGCTGTGTCCACACGGAATTGCCGGCTGCAATGGCAATAGCCTCCTTCTCCTTTGAACCTGCGGTGAACACCATCTCTTGCTGACCAAAATATTCTTCAGCCTGCCGATGCCGAAGAAGGCCACCTGGATGAACCCCGACTGCGGCACTGACAGTTACTGGACTACATTCTCGTCCGCCGGCGAGATAGGCAGGACGTGATGATGACTAAGGAGATTTGAGACGTCGATGCCTGGACAGACCACCGCCTCGTCATCTCAAAGATGAGGCTCCGTCTACAACCACTCAGGAGACCACAAGGCAAGCGATCCCCAAGTAAGCTGAATACTGCTTTATTATCTTTGCTTGCTGACCGTTTACATCTCAACAATCAAATGACCCGGCGGCTGCAAGACCTGCCAGCAGCAGGTGAAAAAACTTCCGTAAAGACTCGATGGTGCCGACTACAGAACGCCGTTCACTCGACCGCCCTGGCTGTCCTCAGCCACGCACGCCGCCAGCACCAAGACTGGTTTGACCAAAGCGACGCCGCCATCAGTAACCTGCTGGCCGTGAAGAACGGACTGCACAGTGCCTACCTCGTCCTCTCAACCGATGCGCAAAAAGGGACGTTCTACCAATGTCGCCGCCTAGTGCAGCAACGGTTTCGAGAAGTGCAGGACTCCTGGGTGGCTCGCAAGGCCGAGGAGATCCAGACGTACGCCGACCGTCACGACTCAAAGGATTTCTTCGCTGCAATTAAGGCGATCTACGGTCTCCGACCAAAGGAACTGCACTGCTTCTCAGCTCCGATGGATCAACGCCTTTGACAAGAGGTCACGGACTCTGAAGCGCTGGGCCGAGAACTACAGAAACGTCTTCAACCACCCCTCCACAATCTCCGTCGCCGCCATCGACCGGTTCCCCCAAGTGGAAACCAACATCGACAGGAACCTCCAGCCCTACCTTCCAGCAACCATTCGCGCCGTGTAACAACTCTCCAGCGGGAAGGCATCAGACTCCGGCGCAATCCCATCCGAAATGTACAAGCATGGCGGCCACCGCTCGATGGAGCAAACCACGACGATATTTCGGGAGATGTGGTGCTGTGGACAAGCTCTTCAGGTCTTCATGGACGCAACCATTGTTCACCTCTACGAGTGCAAAGTCAACCGGCAAGTCTTCGGCAATCACAAGGGCATCTTGCTACTCAACATAGCCGGGAAGATCTTCGTCCGCATCCTCCTCAATTGCCTCGACGGACATCTTGAGCAAGCACTACTACCAGAAGGTCAGTGTGGGTTCCGGTGGCACCGGGGCACCATTTACATGGTGTTTGCCGCTCGCCAGCTGCAAGAGAAGCGCCAACAGATGCGAACCCGCCTCCACACCACCTTCGTGGACTTGACAAAGGCCTTTCGTACGGTGAATCGCGAGGGATTATGAAAAGTCATGCAGGAACTCCGTTGTCCTGAACGATTTACGAACATGGTGCGTCAACTCCACGACGGGATGATGGCGAGCGTCACAGATAATGACGCAATCTCCGAGGCATTCGCATTGACCAGTGCAGTTAAGCAGGGCTGCGCCTTACCGCCCACCCTCTGCAGTCTCATGTTCTCTGCTATGCTGATGGATGCCTACCGTGATGAGAGCCCCGATACTCATCGTGTACAAAACTGACGGGCATCTTCTCAACGGCTGGCGCATGCAGGCCCCAACGTGGATACATGCGACCACGGTCCACGGCCTGCTCTTCGCCAACGACTGCGCGCTCAACACCACGACCGAAGTGGACATGCAACGGAGCATGGACCTCCTCGCCACCGGGTGCGCAAACTTCGGCCTGACTATCAACACAGACAAGACGGCGAGCGTTCAAAACACTGTACTCCTCTTTGAATCACTGTTGACAGCCACCAACTCAAAACCGTGGACAATCTTGCTTATCTCGGAAGCATACCTTCCAACAGCACCCGAATCGGCGTCGAGGTTACCCACCGGATCTCCAAAGCCAGACAAGCATTTGGCCGGCTGAAGAAATCCGTGTAGAATCGCCACGGCCTCCAACTGAATAGCAAATTGAACATGTACAAGGCCGTAGTCCTGACGACACTTCTGTACAGAGCAGAGACTTGGACCTTCTATTCCAACCATGCCAAGAAACTCAACCGCTCTCATCTCAGCTTTCATTGTGGAGTACTTATGCTGAGATGGTACGACAGGATCCCCGACACGAAATTCCTAAAACGGACCGGCAATCTTAGCATTTACAGTATGTTGAGACAACTGCAACTACGTTGGATCGGCAAACTCGTGAGGATGAAAGACACACGACTACCGAAACAATTTTTCTATGGTGATATCGCCACCGGTGCTCGCTGACGGGGAGGACCAAAGCGATGCTACAAGGACATTTTAAGAAGTATTTTAAACGATTGCATATAAATCTAGAGACCTGGGAGGACATCGCCCAGAACAGACCGGTCTGGAGAAGAGTAATAAAGACCGGCACTGTCATCTACGAAGCAAATCGGATCGTCCCTTTCCAAACTAAACGGCAGACCCGCAACTCACAAATGTCTCGCCTCCTCAGTGTCAACCATCCGCCGGTTCCAACATGCCCAGGCTACCAGCGCGCATTCCGCGCACGAATCGGTCTCGTTATACACCTTCGGACCAATGCGCCATCAACCCGACAAGGTCTACCCCTCCTCCCACTCTCGCCCTGCCACAAATCCCGCGCCGACCGCCACCCTCGTCACCGCCGATCACACTGTCCCCGCCCCGCCACCACCACGCGCCCTACTCCAACTTCTGCATTGACCGCAGCGACCAGCAGCACCACCACCACGTCTTCACGCACTCCCCTGTTGATGCGACGACGTCCGACATCTCATCAACTTTAAACCACCAAAATCCCCATCTCCAGCGACGTGAACTCGATGCATGCCCGTCCTCATTGAGATCGCGCTTTCACCTCACACATCGGTCTGGTCAGTCACTTGCCAATCTAGCGCACAGAGACTGTCGAACCAGTGCCTGGAGCATCCACATACACTCGCCGCATCCTTGATTGCCCTTACTGCATCCCCACATTCACTCGCCGCGTGGGTCTATTAATCCACATGCACATTCACGAACGCCCACGGTAGACAACCGCCGGCCACATCACACCATCACACTTTCCTCACCAGCACCCGCACCTCCCAACACCACCACCCATCACAAGCACCCAACTGCTCCCTCCCACGCAAGTGGGAAGCGTACTTCTCGTCTCCTTCTCCGTGCGGTTCCTCTGCTACATGCATGATCCGAGTCTGGGATTATCACGGTGCACCAAGCGCTGTGGCTTCGAAGGCTGCTGACTAATGTCCCAACTCAGTCCACGCAGTCTGCCCAGTTGTGTGTGTTTGTGTGGAGTTGCGGACTGGTGGGCTGAGAGCTAGGCTGTCACGGCTCCGTCTTAGCTGGTCTGTGGCACTCTCACGCATGTGAGTTTTGCGTGCTTTACGGGTAGTGCATCTCAGCCGAAGACTGTTTGGTTACCCAGCATTTGAAGAGTGACGGTCCGGGCAAATGCAGAGCTACGTGCCGACCTTCTGGGCCTATACGTCTGTAAGTGTCTGTTATGCCAGTGTCAGCAAACCGTAGTCTTCGCAGCCTAGTATACGCTAGCGGCTCTCTGCCGGTGGATGCGCCTGCACCCTCGCTGAGTTTATAGGTCGTGAGCATGGTTGTCCTACCCTCCTCCTCCTGAAGCGTCGTGTTGTTGGCTAAAATCCTGGCCAATTGATGTGTGAACCAGGGGGTGCAAGGTGGAACGACAAGGTGCGGGCTCGGCTGCGCCCTCCCCCGTCTCAGGCCTTAACTCTGTCTTGACACCGAGCCCAAGTTGGGAGAAAGTGCGGTAGATGCTGCGCAATCCTACAATCCCTATCAACTGATTCAAGCGCAAGTCACCGTGCCCACTTCACATTGCCGTGGAGCACATGGTGGACATCGTCGGATGCGATGGTCGAACTGTCGTGTCGGCACCTACCCACTCGCTGAGATAAACCGACTGAACTCCAGCACAATAAGAGGATTTGGGCTTCTCGCGAAGATGGCATTCGCAGGACCTGGAAGTTCTGTTTGGATCAGACCAGTAGTACCTGCGCGCAGCGAATTGCAATTGCGGCTCGACATTCTCAGCGGACTATACAGCCCCCCTCCTTTAGACTGTCAAATTCAAGTTGTCTAGAATAATTCTGACTTCAAAGACTCCTCACTGCCAACCGTCGTGCTTGATAAACGAACGACCCCTTTAGACGTCAAAGTCCTCCAAATCAAAGCCTGTGAGCAATGTGTCACCAGAAGTGCGATGCATCTCAGCACAGGCCTCTTGTCCTCACACGACCGCAGAAATCGCCCAAGGGTCGACCGATACACGGACATCCAAAATCTCTCCCCCCCCCCCTCACCTGCTCCCCGTCCAGCGCAACTGGAGTCAGAGAAACTGGCGAACGACTGCTCATCAGCAGCAAAAAGTTCGTCCTCACTAACTCCGAATCATAATTGGCCTCTACCTCGTCCCCGGCACATCCAGCCCCTGCTGGTGACACATGGTATTCGGTGTTAGGGCTCATTGCCGCGTTCATCCTTACATCCTCGTCCCTAGCACATTTAGAAACGGGCTACCCGGAAAATCGATGGGGTAGACTTCTTCGGCAATCTTAGCTTCGTTTGCAACTTCTACGTCCGCGACGGCAGAAACAATGAACTCTTCCTCGCCAACGTGGGCACGTAGATCAGCCTGGTCCCACCGAAGCCAGCAGACCATAGTCTTACCAACCCCGGTTGACTCTTTTAGGCCATCAACTCTCCCCTCATCATCAGTTTTGCGTCTTGTTTCTGCTCTCTGAACCTCGGGCTCCGAAATATTTTTCTCTGACTTTGTCAAAGGTACGTTCCTGTTACGCCCTCGGCCCGTACTTTCTGATCAAACTCGACCTTTCATTTAAATTTCAACAACCGGACCGCATAACATGATAGCAGGGAGGCCTATCAGACCTCTACTTCCCCGTTTACAGATGATTTACTTTCTGAACTATGACACTGCGTGGCCGGTAATGCGCATCCTTGTTAGATGCGTCGGACTCGCCCGTTCCAACTTCGAATCCAGCACCCTCCACACCATGCGGTCCATGGCATCTCTCGTGTTCTCTGGGCGCCGCAGTCTTGCGTCTTTTCGACTGGCTGCAGTCAAAGTCGAGGCAAAATGCCTGTTGCAATGCGGGACCATCGGCCAATCCAGGAGTCCGATGGTGTTTCTGTCGTGCATGGTTCTCCAGTCGCGGCTGGTTTTCCTATGACAACGATCAATACCATCCCTCTCAATCGTTGTCCATTGCCTTGCCTTTAGAACTTCGCTGGCATTTTGCCTGGCCAGTTAAACCCTGAAAGTTTATCCGCTAGTAAGAGACTACCGGTCAGTTCCACTCCCGGTATATAACACGAAACCTCAGACAGGTATATTAAATTTGGTTCCTCTTTTGCCTTATAATTGCGGTATTACGGGTTAGCTATAGAACAGGTGAGTGATGTTAAGTAGGCCGTCATGTCTCCCCTAAAAGTTGCCTTTCTAACTACAATGGGGTCAATTGGTATGGCTTCCCACAGCATGGGCGAAAAATCCCTAGGGATATCTCACTTATCGTCACGTGCATATCACCAAATCAATTCGTTTCGTAGTCGGTTTACCATCAAAGAACTGCCTTTCGCAAGCAGACTCGGTTAACCCCCAATTTTTTAGGTCGACAAAAAAAACATTTTTAGGAGTTAAAAGCATCCAAATGTACTGTATGAAAAATAAGTCTTAGCGACCGGGTGAGGGGTGCACGGAAATTGCAAAAAAAGATGAAAAGGCAGTTCTTCTAGTGACAAATTTTTACAAGTAATTTTGCGGTCACATCCATTACTTTTGAAGTGGGGCGTAATTCAGAAGCTTTTCGATTAAATCCACGTGGGAGAGGATCATGCGACGGCAACAGTAACGACGAAGTCCAAGTGTATCCAGTGCATCGCCCTCAGCATACTCGGCTTGTAGAAGACCAATGTAGCACTCCCATTTGTCTCCGACCACTTTGCCACAGGTGAAACATCTGACCGGAATAATCATCTTCGGATCTACGTGAAGGCAGAAAGGCGTAAAAGGCGCGTAAAAGGAGATCAGAAGCATGAGGAGGAAGAAACCAGCGAAGGAAAGTGTACTGTTTTCAGAAAATAATGTACACGTGAGTTTAGAAGGTCACAACAAAGTCCTTTCCGTGCAAAGACAGTAACTCCGGACTTTTCAGGACACCGATTATCACAGGACAATGGCATTGCGTCAGGACTTTCAACAACGTTTGCAGATTTATTATTAGCACGGGATCAGAACTGCGCGTCATTTGGGTCCAGCTCATCAACCGAAGGTGGATGAAGGTTCAGAAAACGATGTGCAGCCCTTACCATGCATCCTTGATTTCCATCCACAAAGTCATAAACTCAATTTCAAAAGAAGAGATGAGTAGACGGTGTGAAATTCGTATAATGATCTGGTTTTTCAGTTGATACACGGCTAGTCATGAAAAATAGGCAGCTGTGAAGTGAATCCCCGCAGAATGGCTACTATTTTGGCTGTCAGAGGTGGTCAGTGATAGGGTTGCGCACAACCCAGAGATCTAAAGGTGCAGTCGTAGAGACAGCTTGTCCGGATAGTTTACTGTGCTCATGCTTCCTCAGCTTCCTTGAATGCAATCTGGTATGGTGATGCCTATCCTAGAGAAAGGGTAGTTTTGTGGGCGAAATGGAAAAAGGTACTTAGTTGCAAGACAGAATTCAAGTCAGCATTTGAAGAGTAACGACCTGACGAGCTGAGTGACGCCAATAGCCATAAGCTGTAGAAGACAAGAGACAGTTTCGAACACACGGCAGGGCTCCTTAGGACCATGACTCCTGTCGTTCGATTGTCATGGGTTGCCTGCTTCGTTAAGCAAAGTGGTGCAGGCGCTGGTTTGCTATAAACTGACACTGGAGGGACCTGAGTTTAAACACCTTCCACTCCACAGGTTATTCGATGCGTTCTAACTCTCTGTGGTGTGTGCAAACAGTTGCTTTAGTGACCCCATGTAATTGCTGTCCGAACGCAGGATGTGGAGTGTGTTAATTGCTTTTGTTGTCGGCTAGTAGTGGGAAAGGATGGAAGCTAACGCCTCGAGGAATCATAAGACAATTTCCCGTTGGACAGCGCCGAAAAGTCCATGCCGTCGATTCTGCTGTTTAAACAGCCTGAGCAATGTGTTCACCGGGCGTCAACTCATTGGGCCCTTGAGATACTCATATGTGATCCCATTGGAGACATAATATGACCGAATGAGCGAGATTGGTGCGCTTCAGTGACCCAACAAATTGCTGTACTCGGTCTTCAGTTGTTTGCTATCAGTGTGACCGTCAGCTCCCGTGGGATTGATGGGTGGAATGGGGTGGCATTAAACGACACCACGTTGTAGATAGGACCGTTGCAAGCACACGAGAGAGAGAGAACACGAACAAATCAGGATGCAAAAATCAGAACGCGGACACCCTATAATAAGGCTTTACTCATCTTACAATGGACTAATGGGACTAAAGCGAGAAATAGAAAAGAAGTGGATGAGACGGGATTTAGTCAGGGGCTTCTGTTTGCATGACAGTGCTCTTCCATTTTTATTCATAATTTTAAAATTTAAAAATAAAACCACACTATCAAACTGGAGATGCGGTTTTACGAAACTCAAGTATTCTTTGCCACGTAAGAGTGCTACGGTTTCACGAGATCCAAGTATTCTTCTGTCACGTAAGATTGTTGCCAGACTTCAGTTTTGTATTAATTTCGGTAAAATTAAACTATTTATTACATTACCTTCAAATGATTCCACAAAATGAGGAAGAAGAGGGTCCGAAGAGCCGCAAACAAGCTTTATAATACGTGATGAAAAGTAACGAGCTGCAAGCCAACTCAAACGAAATTATGGCGTGTCATGCTAACATAAGCCCCTGGCTAAATTCCATCTTATCTACCACGTTTGTATTCCTCGTTTTAGTTCCAGTAGTCCATTGCAAGATGAATAAAGCCCTATTATAGGGTGTTCTCTTTCTGATTCTTGCATCCTGATTTGTTCGTGCTCTCCCTCTTATGTGCTTGTTACGTTCCCAGCTACGACAAGCACGTGAATGAAAATCGACCAAACTACCGAACTTCAACTATTCCCATTCAACGGAGAAGGTTTTGCAGCCATTGTGGCGTTAACGAATTCACGACTTTGAGCACTTATTTGAATTTCTAACAGAAAACTGTGCATAGTTTTTGAGGCATCCCTTTCACTAGACTCATTCAAAGGTTGTATATCTTACAGAAATTATAAAAACGCCCAAAAATATATCTAAACCCGTAAAGTGGAAAATCGCGCGCTTGCCGCACCATTTTGAACTAAAGGATGAAAGTCGCTATCTACAGGGAGGATGCGGAAACATTTCCGTGAGACGGCCAGAAGACTAAAAGTTAGACATGGCAAACCCCGAATTCCAGTCATAGCTAGGACTTCTAGAGCTCTAAATAGTCTTGAAAGTTAAAAATGGTATTCCAAAACAGGAATAAGCGTAAATTCCGAATTTTGTGGAAAGACGCATGACGTGGGTACTATTGCGAAATCAGCTTTAAGCAGCCAGAATCCAAACGGAATCTGCCGTGAAACTTAATCAAAATAAAACAGATATCTTAGGCATTCCCAGTGACCGAAAACTGAGTATGATTCGCGAGCTTTGATAGCCAACGTATTCAAAAATAGTGAAATATTGTCTGCATCTAGTTACGATTAAATGACAACATAAGACGAAACTTATAAATTCAAAATCCGGTTAGCATGCGTCTCTACGACATCAGACACCGACAGCGCAAGGAGGACTACAACCATCATTTATGGCTTATTCGTCATCATCAGTTCTGATTCAGTGACAGAACGTTTGGTTTAACCCTAAATAATCAATGTCCAGGTTCGAGTCCCAGCCCCTTTCGGCTGGCGATCCATGTAAGGCAAATGAGCCCGAAATAGCCCTTCAAGTGCCCACTACTTTATCAGTACCAGTTCTGAATTATTGATTACGTCTCAGTTTGGAACCGTTTACAAGGATTATAGACCGTGGTTTCAGGAAAAACTAAAATCGTCCGTGTCTTGTCCTGCGCTTAGAATGCGTCATTTTCAGGTAGGTCCTTCGTTAGGTTTGTGACTACGAAAAAACTTAGGGGCTCTGAGTAAGATAACCCAGTGTTCTGTAATGCTAAGGAAAGATACGCGTCCTGGATTGTCTTGACGCATTTGTATGCAGTAGCCTGGACAAAATGATTCCTTGGTGAAATATTGCTGTGGCAAGCTAAAAGAATACACTGCATCCCGAGTCAACCAACTCTTGATGAGCTTTGACCGCGACATTACACTTTCTGAAAATCCAACATAAGGTCTGTTCGGAGATCGCTCGTCCAAAAAGCTCCCTTAAACTGCAGGGGAAGTACAATTCTGAGATGTTTGGCATCGATAGGTGGAAGGTGTATTGTCCGCTGATGATTTTAAACTGGTCCAGTCAGACCTTCCATGACCGATACTGCTGAGTTATGAGTAGAAGCAGAGTACAGAAGTAGTGACCTTCGGTCATGGACGCCTGAGAATCCCTTCACTAAAATAGGCTAACTTAGTCTTAAGAAACACAGTCCGCATTCTCTGCGACAATAGTGCAGGGATGCCTCAGATCATTCGAAAAACACGGCTGAGGTGTTCTAGGCATGTTCTCTGTCACTTTTCTCGTGTTCTCCGTTCAGTTCAAAATCCGAGTCCGGTTCTTCAGTCCTGGACCTAACTTGATACGGTTCGTGAGGATATTGAGGTGATTCTACAACTTATCGTATTCGGTTTTGGTCGCTGAAAGATAGTGGGCACTTGATCCACCATGGAACGAGGAGGGATCCGATAAATCACTGGGTCGTATAAAATTCAGGGTCTTCTGTCAAAAACGACGGGAATTATGACGTCACCAGCACCACTTCACAGAATATCGAGTTTTAATTGGTGTCATGCGCGCCGTGATATGGTCGTCTACTCTCTTGTAAGCAGCGCTTGTCAGGAAACCAAACTGTCCAAGCATTTGCAGAAAATGACTGAACCAACAAAAAGGCATGAAAATTATTCATCTAACAGATCAAACACGTTCAAAACTATTTCAGAAACGTAATGCTGTATTTTCTTAAATACTTTTGTCCATCTTAGTCAGTTTCCGCAACGAAGTCATGGCGTCGGTGAATTTGTGTCACTAACTCTTCGTGTGGATTCTCATGGCTGGTACAACAATACTAAGCGTATGAGTGAATAAGCCGCGAAAACAAGATAAACAGATAATTTACGAAAATAGCCCTACGTTTGATTTTAAAAAGCTGTTTATAGGAGCATTTCCATCCCAGGGAGCACTTCTACACACAGAGAATGTTATAGGAATAAATAACAGGACTTTTCGACGTCGACAGCAACCTCTACAGAATTCGACTTACTCCCGCGTAGATAAACCAGCCTGGTATTATGTGAACGAAATTGTGATTCTAAACACTCCTAGAACATCTTATTAGCAATTTTACATGTTAGAAACAAACAGGCACACACCCTGAAAATGCGTAAACACGCATAAAATGTTGTTATGTCACGAAGAATTGCTACTTGAAACCAGGTAACCCCGATGGTGGCCGATCAGATGGAAGTATTGTAAAGAAAACTGGCGATCTGGGCTAATAGTAATAAGGGCGGTTAGAGGGTTTAAAGGTGCTCAACTAATACACTTTCTACTGTACGACTCACGAGTACCTCAGCCTTTCGCTTCTGGTTAAGGGCAGTGTCAAGCACAGTATAAGCTATCAGTGCTTAGCTAGACAATCTAATTATCTGTCGACATCGCCATCACACCTCCACGAGCACAGCATAATCGTACGCTCGCGTGAAGTTTCACCTGTTGAGTGCACGCGATCGCACATACCGCCTCGACCTGGCTAGAATAACACCAGGTTCTGCCGATATTGAAGCCGTCCTATTGATGTCTTTCCTCTATAAAAACAGAATAGGTCGCGGGACTTGTGCGATTATCGCTTCTGTCGACGAAAATTCGTAACACCATTCCCGTGAGACAATAATACAACGGACAGTAAGCTTGTAACGCAACGATCCTACATAGATAGCCTGATGGCGGAAGACCAGCTATTTTGATACAAGTTTGCAAACTTGGCAGTCCAACACAAGCGGACTTATCGAGAAGCTTAGATGCAGAAAGTCAAAAAGGATTAAAAACGGCTTTAAAAACAGTCAGCCCATTCTTTAAGGGTGAAATAGCAGTCGGCTACTGAAATCACACCTAGGACAAAGTCGAACCAAAGTTCGGGGTGGGGACGAAAAGTGCCTTCCAAGCCCTTATAGGAGCGCACGCGCGGTTCTCAAGAATGGCCAATCCTGACTACGCCAAGTGGTGAGTTAAAACATAGTGTCTGACTTCCATAATTTGGTTTAACTATACAAATATAACGTACGATAATGAACAACAAACATAAATCAATTGAAATATCGATTATTTAATTCTGCTCGATTGTCTTTCCAAATGGTCTCTCAACCAGACACACGGCCGAGGCCCAGTAAATACAGCAGAGGACTTTCCGCGGATCAACCTGGGCGCCCCAGCTCCGACCTCGGTCCATCCCCGCCTTTGAGTCGCCAAAAAGACACCCTCATGAGCCAGTCCTTGTTCATCGAAAATTTTTTGCAGGACTTGTATGTAGATTGGTTTTAGTAAACTCGATATTTTTACTAATTGACTTCATGGTTCATATTTGGGCTAGTCGTCGTTCCAGAATGATGGATTATAAATCTGTGGCAGTGTTGTCGCACGAAACCTAGCGGACAGCTTGATTAGGAAACCCGTTGAGGAGCTGAAGAAAGTGACTCAGTCAGCCGTCTGCAACGTTGGGTGACCCGGATGAAGGACTAACTCAGCATTTTGCTATTGAATGATGACGCGTAAGGTCTGGATAGGTGTGCTTGTATGGTTTCCACGATGTCTAGTTATAACACCTACAAGAGTTCCTGTTGAACCCTTTGTGGATCGAGACTCACGCGGTCGCAGTTCCGACGCCGATTTCGAAGGCAGCTTGAGGGCGTCCTGGGATCCCAACAGCCTCTACGTTTACTTGGTAGCCAAACATAGAATCCGGGTCGATCGTCTTTGCCGACGATGTCCACCGTGCGCTCCACAGCAAGGTGAAGCAGACACGGTGACTTGCGCGTGAATAAGGTTGAAGTCATGGTGGACTTGCGCAGCATTCAACGAGCCCTCTCCTCCTCCTCCACCTCCTCCTCCTCCTCCTCCTCCTCCTCCTCCTCCTCCTACTCCTCCTGCTTCTGCACCTGAACCCAGTGTCAAGACATAATCCGAAAGACCAGAGTGGAGGAGGACGCAGGTGGGAAGCCCGCTCGAGCCCGCACCCCGGCGCTTAACTCCGCATACCCTCGTCCACACAGCAAATGACCAGGGTTTTAACCAACAACAAAAGGATGATTGGCACGGCCGGAGCCACACCTAGACGTGCCGTCACATTTGAATCGGACCACAGAGGGTGGGAGTGCCACAAAGTCCATATAAAGAAGGAGCCATTGCAGCCTGAACCTCAGGCCACCAGCTAGCCACTCCACACAAACGCACAACACCAGGCTGACTGCGTGGTCCAAGTTATCCCGTCGATTGGCAAACTTCAAAGACCCGGCTTTTTACTCAACGTGATAGCCTCAAGCGCATCAGTTGACAGTTGTGAGAAATGGGCGAGCTGGCTAAGATATATAGTGACCTTGTCTGC